TCTCTCTCTCTCTCTCTCCGTCTTGCTCTTGAAAAATAATTAGCTCGCTCGCCCCCTTTCCAAAGATTACATCTATTATCACAAATTCTCTCTTGTCCCTGTTTTCTTTCTTTTGTCATCACTATCCTCCTTTTTATGTTGCATGTCCATCTCTCTGTCTTTTTTATCTTTCTCCTTACCGTGGGAGAAGGAACAACAGCCTGTGTGTAATAATGTGGTGATAATGGAGCTGTTATGTTGGTTTGGACTGATTTTCCCCAGTTTTCTTCCTTTGTTCTGTAGTTATCATAGTGAAATTAGGGCTGAGTTGTACATCCAAAAATAACACTCTCTTCCTCGATTCCGGTAATGTAATAAGTACAGCACCACGTCTGTGTAAATACTAGACTTGAGGTATGGTATGTGGTGCTGATAATCACATGAGAAACCCTTTTAATGCAACATAAATCATTCTGTATAAGCTGTGTTAATGTTTTGATGGTTAAAAGTCATTTATTTAGCATCGGTGACAGCTGATGGTCATCCAAACCTCTTGAATTCAGAACCGACTGCCTCGTTTTGGCAATATATGGAAAGATTTAAACATTTAGTATTTGCAGGCAGGCTATAAACTTAAGTAAATGTTAGCTAAAGCTGCTACAGTTTCCATGAAATGAAACGTTTCAACCTTCTGAAACATTGCTTCTTCCTGGAAAACAGCAAGGAAACTTAAAAAGAAGGAAGGGTCATTATATCATAACGCCAGCGTTCTAATGCTGTTTGCTGCCAGTTCTGTTGAAACCTATGGGAGATGGAAACCAAACCTATCTATAGTGTATGACCTTTAATGAACAGATGCAAAAATGAAGCCAAATGAAAGAACATACTGCAGAGAAATGATTCTCCAAATGTGTTTGTTTATTTTCTATTGGTCTCCAAAATCAAAAGATGAATACTTCCTAATAAAAATTACTAACTGTAATACTACAGTGCTCATGACAATTAAAAGAAAAACTGCAAGTGAAGTGTCCCATGAAAATGTTGATTTAAATCTGTTCTTCATTCCTTCTCTCTTCCTTTTTATTTCGATCCAGAGGCTGCTTCACAGTGATTGACAGGGCTAATAATAGCTAACGTTATGGGAATATCTTTCATTCAAAGGAAGCATTTACAAATGTCCTCTGATTAATTCGTAATTGGTGAATTGGTTGGCTATAAAAAAAAAAAACCCTACAAAACAACATATATGTTGTTTTTAGCTAAGCAATTGATTTGCAATGGTGAGCATTATAATTTGACTCGCCATGAGCTCTGTAAAGTAGGCCTGTATTCATCTTTGGATACTATTTGGAGAATTGGAAATGGAAATGTGAGAAGAAGCACTGCAACCAGGGACAAACTGTTAGCCTTGCTCTATCAAAAGTAGAAAAAAATACGTGTTTAACCAACACGTACACATGACCCGTCTTGTTTACACATTGGTTTAGCTCATGTAACTGTTGTTGTAATGTTGAAATAGATATGTTAAAAGACTTTGATTTAAAGGTAGTTGGAGCCGTTTCCTAGCAAAATGTTTCCTTGCTTTACTCAAATCTGTCTGTCTGTCTCTCTCAGATGACCTGGCATACGAGGTGCGTTGGCTTTTCACCCGGCTGCGTGGTGGAGAGACGACGACCCAGGTGGCAAGCGTGGACCGCTTCGGCGTTGTGAGGAAAGACGCCCGTAACTCATCCAGTGACATCTCAATAGAGCGCAAAGACACACACACCTACCTGCTGAACATTCACGGCACTCAGGACAGGTGAGTGTGTGTGGTTTTGACCTTTTGTGAATTTATAATTTGACTGTTTCACCCCTGTTGGCCAGAAGATTTACACTGTACTGTTGTTATAACAGCTACAGTGTCTTACTGTGTGTGTGTTTTGTGCTTTCCAGTGACAGTGGGGAGTATCACTGCATTGCCACTCCCTGGTACCTGTCGGCCTCAACAGGAGCCTGGACTGAAGCTGGAGAGCTGACGTCATCTCGAGTCTTCCTCACAGTCCGGTTTGCTGGTGAGGAGTGTGTGCTGGACTTCCTATATGCCCATGTCCACACTAATTCAGTTAAATTATTAAAAAATTATTTTTTTTATTGTCAGATGGCTGTAGTCTGGAGAGTGATTTTGCTAAAAAAACAAAGATAGAAACAGAGACGTTAGTCTGGACATGGCACATTAGAGTATTTCAGCATGCGCATATATGAACATGAAATGCAAAATAATTGAATATACTCTTTATATTTATATATATATATATATATTATTTGCTTCTATTAAACACCAAATCTCTCTTTGTCTCACCTTCTGCAGTGTGGGAGTCCCTAAAGTTGCCTCTCTTATATGGTGTTGCAGCCTCAATAGGTAATGTAACCATCACACACTCACAAGTAAAAGTAACAATGTACATACTGTTGATGTTGTATTGTCAGCTGTTAGCTTAAGCCTGTGTTTTTATTGTTCATATGTTATCTAGATATACGCTGTTCCAACAATCACAAACTCTGCTTTGGTTATAAATAAAACCTGAATCCACTGACGTATATGATTAAAATCAGGAGTTTCAGTTGCTCTACTGAGCTGTACAGAGCAGACCAGCTAGGTAAACAAACCACAGAGAGGCTATGATAGCAACACAGGCAGAGGAAGTGTGTCATTCTTTGCTCAGGATAGCTAACAGTTGTTTGCTGCTATAATAATGTATACATCTCACGTGTGTGTATGTGTGTGTGTATGTATGTATGTATGTATGTATGTATGTATGTATGTATGTGTGTGTGTGTGTGTGTG